TGGGCGTGGCTATAAAAAGGTAACATGATCCCTATGATGCTAGAAATGCTCTACATCTGCACTGTATTATTGTCAATTTCCTGGTTGTGATTTCATACTATAGGTGTGCTATTGGGTACACTGAATCTCTGTGTTCTCTCTTACAACTGCATGTAAATCTATAATTATCTCAAAATAAGAAGTTTATTTTTAAAAAAAACTCTAATCCAGCTTTTTAAAATGATAAGAACAGGCATCCATATTTTTCTCTGACCTTATTAAAGGTATTTCTATTGTTTTCATATTAATCATAATGCCAAAGAAGATATACCAAAGTAAGATGAAATTAATTCAAATATATCAGCAATCATGATAAATACAGATTAAATTCACATATATAGATAGAGGTATTATGGAAGTACCCATCCACTCCTTTCCATTGCGTTTTTTTTAATCTGCAGAGATAATAGTTAAATATAAATATAGTATTTGTATAAATGAGAGAGAGGGCAAATGTGGCAAAATATTAACAACCAGTGAATCTTAGTGAAGAATATATGAGAGTTTATTGTATTATTCTTATTCTTGTAACTTGCCACTTTTGTGTTTATATATTTTCAAAAGAAAATGTAAAATTTTTAAAAAGGTAAAAGTAAAACTCCAGGTAATAGCAATGTGGGGGCCCATGTTCAATGGATAGTTAACTTGCTATGATCTTTGTTGTGTTTAGGAGGAATAGAAATACTGAATAATTTTACATGTTGTTTTAAAATTTTAGTAACTATATTCATTTAAAATTTAAGGGTAACCACAAAGAATAAGAATAATAATAAAGCTTCAGCAAAAAAAGGGAAAAAAGCCCAATTTAAAAGAACCAAAATTTGTCCAGATATGCCGGTAATCACAATAAACATAAATGAATTAAACACACCTGTTTACAGACAGATTATCAGATTGGATTTAAAAACACAATCCAGTCATATAGTGACTATATCACTCTTACAGCCTAGATATAAACTAAAACTGTATCAAAAAAATACGAAAATAAAGGACCCTAGAATAGCACTGCATATAAAATTTATCCCTCAGAAAAGCTGGTACGGCAGAACTAACAGCAGACAAAATAGAATTTAAGGCAAAGAAGATTTCTAGAAATAAAAAAATGAGAAAATATATATATACATGGTTGAATGTTCTTCCTGAGTCTTTCACTTTCCATTTCCAGCAGCAAAGCATGAACAGTATTCCCAACAAGCATTTCAATGTAGGATTGTATCAATATATTGTTTATATTTCCAAATTTAATAAGCAAGAAGAAAAAGGAATCTTTTTGTAGTTTAATTTCAAAGCTCACACTCTCTGAAATACAGCAGCGACCACACAACACAATTGATGTTTTGTAATGAATGGCAGGCTCTCTGCCCTGGGAAGCAGAAAGTGGCATTCCTTTCAGGGTCCAAGTGGACCCTTAGCCTCAGGGGACTGCATCCCGGGTGAGGGAGGACCCGCCCCCAAGAGCTGAACAGGCAGGAAGTCCAGTTCCGCACAGATCCCCTAACTGGCAGCCCCAACCAGAAGCTACATCTGCTCTGTATTAATCCTTAGCAGCTTATTTCATTTCTATACAGCACAGTATTTACTTTCTATACAATCTCCAGCAAAGCTGTTCAGTGCCCTGAGGCAGCAAACAATAATAGTTCTCTATGACCAAGTCTGAAGGAACAATCCCCTTTCAATTTCACACAAAGCTTTCATTAAAAAGTCTGGACTGGAATTAGGTGCAGTTAGCAATTTCCAGAGAAGTCTCTGATATACTTTCCCTAAATACAAATAAAAAGAAAAAAGAACACGCTTCTATAAAATTTAGTAAAAACTTACTGAAATTGTTAATAAAAATTCTTTGAATTTACAATCAAATGACTAATTCATGCCAGGCACTCTGCTGGAGGCTTTTATACCGTGTCCTCTGATCTAATTCTCAGAAACAATCCATTTAGGTGGTATCATTGTCCCCATTTTACTGACAATCAAACTGAGCACCTAAAGGTTAAATGACTTACCCAATGCCAAAAACCAGCAAGAGGACTCATGCCTCAAACTTAGATTAGTGAGTTTACAGAGGTAAATTCTAATGTAGTCCTGTTATTCATATAATCATCAGCATGGTTACGACCAAAAATAATAATTTCTCATTAACCAGCCTGGATCATTTAGGATACTCTGTGTCATAAAAAAGCATCTGTGATGATTAATATGAGCAGAAATCTCAGATTCAATATTTCTAGTCACATTCTGGAAAAATTCTTATGTGTAGTTACAGCAACAAGGACCTCAGCCAAGAAAAGAGAGTTAATCATTTTAAATAACACTGGAACCAGGTGATATTACTCCCTGGCAGACTGGGCTTCTAGTTCACGCACTTCTGCTGAGGCAGCTGCTCTCACTTGATGCTTTAGAAAAGTTTTTTGATTTATGGTTTGAAGTTAAAATTACCAAAGAGTTTTAAAAGCAGTATGAAAGCCATATGCATCTCAGAATGCTGCCTTTCATTTTTACCTACGTTTTGGCCTGAGTGGCTGAAATATACATATGGCTAAAGAGAAGAAGAAAAATAGCTGCTTAACAGGGACAACATTAGGAAACACTATGAGATGTTTTAAAGTCATGAAGTGAAAACAAAGCAACAAAAACCCCTTTAGTTTCTATAGTCACTTTCAGGAAAAAACATCTGAAGAAGTCAAGGCAAAAGCACTGACATTTTTTAGTGTGCTTTTTTTCCTATTTGTTTTCCCTGCCAGAGCTGCATCCTATTTACCAGTGTCTATATGTGAAGAAAAATGAAAACAGATCTTGCTTGCTGTAGGCCAGAAATGAGGTTTCCCTTTATCTGGCTAGCTCCTAGAAGCGTGCTCCTAATAGAAGCACTCACTCACCAATGGCTTTAGTTTTTGTTGGTTTTGTTTTAAAGCATTCACCAAAAAAAACCCTATGAAACAACATCAATATATTTTAAATTCTTCAACAAGGGATTTTTTTTTAAGCAACAAATACATACCTGGCAATTCTGAACCAGATCCCTTTCATTATTAATGGGTTTTTTTTCCATCCTTTTTTTTTATTCTGGTAAAATGCACATAACATAAAATTACCATCTTAATCATTTTGTGTCATTATTAATGTTTTCAATAAAAATAAGGAGCCTTAGGAATATAAAAAATCCTTTAAAACATTTATCCTTTTTAGGTATCACTGCAAATATGCTGCCTCATAAGCAGTGTTGTCAAAGGCATCACGCTTCATCCTCAGCATAAAGGTTTGCCCACCGCAGCTCCCATGGAGTTAAACAAGCACAATTCAGGTGCCTACTTGGTTTTCTGAAAACACATTCTTCATATGAAATGTAGCATAGATAAATTACATCCACATTTTTTTGGAGGGGGTAATAAGGTTTATTTATTTATTTGTTTGCTTTTAATTGGAGGTCCTAGGCATTGAACCTAGAACCTCATGCATGCTAAGCACCCACTCTACCACTGAGCTATATCCACCTCCTCCACAGATTATTTTTTGAAGTCTCATTTTATCCTCACATTTGCCAACTCTTTGGATAAATATTATCTCAAACAGCAAAATGGCTTTGGTTAGCCCTCCTTTCTCGGCTCAGTCTTTTCTTTGAAGAGTGGGGGTAGATAAGGCCAGGAAGGATGTAAATAGAATTAAGAGGGAGCAGCAAGACTCCTAAATGAACAAAAAGAATCAATAGTCAGCTCTTTGAATAATCTAGAGTTGACATGTTAGAGGGTCAAGCCTGTAATTTTCAGCTGTAAAAACAGGTCTATTAAAGTAACAAGCAGCAAAAACAAAATAAAGTTCTGAAAAATGCTGTTACTTCTTCAGGCTCTGTTCAAAGATTTTACTCCAAAAATCCTATATGTTTCATTAAGGCTCCTAACTATTAAACTCTAGTTACTCTCAATCGCAAAGCAAAATACAAATACAAAATTCAAAACAGATGTTAAAAGAACAGCACATTCTTTGAAGCTGCTCTTGAAGTTCTTGCTGTCCAATTAAAGGAAGGTTTTGGTTTGGGTTTTTGTTTTTTTGTTTTTTGTTTTTTTTTAAAGAAGAGTAAGAGGAGGAGCAAAAAGGAAAAGAATAATGCAGAAGAAAAGTTTTTAAAGATCAAGTAGCCAACTCAAGTTTAAAATTGAGTTCAATGTACACTGTATCTCAGAAGCACCCATTCTGGCATGTTCTAAATTATATGCCATCTCTAGCTGTGAATAATAGGTCAAGAGGCCAAGCCCAAGAAGGGCTGGCAATTACATACAAGACAATTATACTCCAGAGAATTTCTCTAGTATCCTCATACAGAATGCAATTAGCTCACGTCTACACTAAAAATTGCTTTCAAAAAACACCGTTCAAAGATTGAATTTCTTTTTGCTATCCACTTACAATAAAATATTTGTAGAAGTTTGACATCTTTTGACATAATTATATCAGTTGCAACACACATAATGTCCATTCAATTTTACAAAATACATTTTAATCAAAGCCACACATATTTTCTGAACTTTAAGAGCCTAGAGAGTCAAAATCACTGTTACAACAGTGAGAAACATGATACACTAGCAATCCCTTATCAAACATAAACCTGGCTCTGATTACTTTTTGTATTTGAGGCCAATGTAAGTAGTTTGCTCTGTCTGGAAATTTTAAATCAGTTGCCAAATGAAAATGGCACTCTTGATCCCATGCCAGGAGTAAGTTTCTTAGTCTCCTTTCCCAGGCTTGGTCAAAACCTTAGCACTACTCAACAGCAACTAAAATCTTAAAACCAATTTAAATATCTCTATCCTTGCCAAAACTTTGTATCTAGAGAGCCAACTCTATAAATAATGATGGGTAATCAGTAAGGTTAAAACTCAACCTTCAACTATCTAATCCTTGGTTTGCATTTTAAAAAAAAGCTCATGAGTTCATTCATTCTAATTATGAGATCAAATGAAAAATCTAACCTTGCGATGCCCAAATTCATTCAAAATGGTTCCCAGTTTTCTAGTGCTGCTATATGGTTTTTGGGCAGCAACAGCTGGATGGGGGTCTCGCCAGTCGATGGACACGCGGTGATACCAAAGACGTTTACTCTCCAAAACGTGAGCTGATTTAACACTAGGATCAAAACAATGCACTTCACATCCATCGTTGGCCATGCCAACCTCAAAATGGGTATCATCACTTCCTAGCCTGTAAAGAAAGAGGGTGCAAGTCAACATCAGAAAAATATAATGAAGCAAAAGTGTTGGATAAACAAAAATGACAGTGTCAAGGCCAATTTTCTTAGTCACATCAAGCCTTTTCCTGCTTTAACATGTGGTTAGTTGCACACATTTAATAAACCTTCCTTCACAAAAGCGTTACAGCTAAAAAGCTTCTTGATAAAAGAAGTAAATTATCTGCTAAATGCCAACCAGAGAATCACATGTTCAAACATAAAGAAGCATATCAAATTCACTTTCTAAAAAAGATACAAACTATAGTAGCAATGAAACAAAGACTATCTAGCCATCTTAAGAGATTTTTTTCAGAATGTGTAAGAAATGTAAGTCCCAGGATCAGTTCCTTTAGTGAGAAGTGCATTCTACTAATGAAGTAATTGGTCTCCATTGTAATGGCCACGGTGCTGTGCATGCAATTTGACTTAAAGACAACAGCTGGGTTTTTTTGGAAATGGAGCATATTTTAAAACAGCACAGTTAAAGAAGAAAGGCAGTTGTATGTGGTTCTACTGGATCTGGTACTTGAGAGACAAAAGAGATACATCACCTAACTTCACATAAACAGGGGAAGAAATTATGAATTAATTGTGCTTAAGCACCCAGTAGGTAACACATATTGTGGAACATTCACATACTTACAAATTTTTTATTTACTCAGGAATATTCCTTACTTACTGATGTAAGTTTCATTACTTTGATTAAAGCATCATTTTGAATGAAAAACATGAAATTAACCAAAAGAGGACAATTTTTTTAAAAGATCATTATGACTTTTCTGCCCAAAACACTATAATTAGATATGATTTAAGATACCAAAATCCCATAGAGTATCTATAATGCACTGGCCAAACCTGAACCCAGTGCAGAAATGCTTCATTATTTTAGACTCTAGTATTTCAGACTGTTTTATAATTTGGAAATGTATGAGCTCATTAAGTAATAATCTAAGTCTTCAGTACAAAGATCTTCCACCTAGACACTCTTAATACTCTGTTTGCCTTGTTCTTTCCCTTCACTCCCATTACATTGCTCTTTTTCTCATTGGACCCATGTCATGTCAACCTTCTGCTATCCCTCAGCTAAAATTCTCTTAACACTTTTAGCTAGGAAAAAGATTCAGCACTCTTCTCATAAATGCTCCCATTCCTTCTACCCAAGATATCCTGGTTCCTATTTTCAACTTCCTACTGAACCCACACAGCTCAGACCATTGTATTCTCTATCCTAGCTTTCCTCAATTTGTTCATTATTTAATTTGGTGTTGTAGGTTAACTTGCTGGCCCTAATTCTTCACCCCTTTATCCACATTACTGCCGTGGTCATCATGGATGAGGTGTCCTTTCCTGCCTCTTGATTTTTCAGCTTGGCCATGTGACTTGCTTTTTGGAAGGAAGGAACATGATGCCAGTCCTAATCCTGTGGCTTTCAGTTAGGTTCAGTTCACTCTCTTGTACCATTATCGTAATAAAAATTTACCCTGGAAAGTTTGCTGGTCTCAGAAAAATAAAAGACGGGAGAAGCAGAGGTGCCCCAGCCAATCCACTGGCCTTCTGTGAAACACAGAATTTCCCTTAGCCACCTCAGCCTGAAGTAAAGTCTCCCAGCTGAGCCTGGCCTGGATCAACTGAAGCCCAGCCAATCTGCAGATGTATAAGAAATAAAAAATAATGGTTTTAAGTTATTGAGCTTTAGAGTGACTTGTTACACAGCAATAGCTAACTGATAAAACTCACATTAAATATAAATCCAAGAGTTGCAGTAGACACTAGAAAGCATTTTTTTTGTAGACAGATTTCTATGTAGATCACAATGCTATAGAATTTACCTGTCCCAAGGGATCTTTTCACTTAATTGAATTTACTGAAACTTTATTGAGCAAACCAGTGTTATCATAGATAACCCATTGGAAAAACATCAGTTTTGTAGCTTTACTAAGAGTACAAACCACTATGTCAAAAAAGTACTCATTAAATATAATTTGTATATAAACTTTCAAGAGTAAAGAAAGGTGAATAATATCTTTCTCTGTGAATTTTCAGAATATTGTCTCAAGAAAAGATTTTCCACTGTAAAATATATATGTATTTTAATCAAGACTTCAAAAAAATTCTAGAATTAACCACATACAGTTGCATAACTAATTTTTTAGTAAGGCACTTTATTATATATTGATGTATTTTCAACTTAAACTAGTTTCTTGCAATTAAAAAATAACAAATACACTTATAAAAAGTTCAAGTTGTAAGTACATAAAATGAAAAGTAAAATTTTCTTACCACTAGAAATTTAGCCATTAATTTCCAGAGATAATCAGTTAGCAGTTTTTTGTGTATCCTTCCAGAAATTTTCTACATATGATCAAGTGGTTCTCTACTAAAAATACCATTAAAAATATATATATATATATTTGTTAATCATTAGATGGTGATGAGCTACTTTGTATGATACACTAAATAACATGAAACCATTGAAATTTGTAAAATTTTTGGTTAACTTATGTTACTTTTACTGAATAAAATTCACTTAATCTAAATATGTAATATGCACTGTATTGGCAAGTAATCAACTACATTTATTTAGTCAATGTCCATAATTCTTATTTTCATTTATTTACAATTGTACTTCCTCAAGCTTAGTTTAAATTAGTCATTTGTGGTAGGTGTAAAAAGCAAGAGGAAGAACAAATGTAATATACACAGGTGTTGCAAAAAGTGGCCCAAAGTGTTAAAATCAGGAGTCAAATCCAATCTAAGTAGTTCCAAAGCAAGTACTCTTTACACACTTCCTCACAGCAAATGAGCACAGGACACAGCATCATAGAAGGAATATGTGTAATCTAGGAAATCATCAGCTACTAGACAGTAAAGCTCCATGAAGAAAAGGGCTGTGTCAATCTTGCTTATTTCTGAATCCCTAGTGCCAAGTAGATAGATGAATAATGACAGACAAATCCACAAAATGTTGCCCTAAGTGAAAGAAAACCATTAGGTAGGGTCTGAAATTCCCAGAATATACAGTACAATATCCAACATGGCATGGGATGGGCTACATTTCACTGAATTATTCATGTATACAGACAAATATTTATAGAGCACACTATATGTTCAAGGCACTACACTAGACACCAGAGGCAGACAGATGAATTAAACACAATCCTTGATCTGAAGAATCTCATAAATAGTAAAGAAGAAAGATTTTTGAACAAATAACTATAATAAAATAGCTAAAACTAAAATTATTATTTATAACAAAAATGTATTACATCTGTAAGGAAACCATTTTTTGCTCTTATTTAATCAGAAGGAGAATTCACTACAGAAGATCTTATAGACTTTTTTTATAAGATTATATACATATATATTTATTTATAAACATAGATCATATGGCTTCTACTTCAAGGTCTAAGATAGTTTTTCCAGTTCCTGCCATCACATCTGCATTCCAGCCATTAGGAAAGTAAAAGAGGAGGGGAGATTCACATCTTTTCCTCTTAGGAGCATGGTCTAGAAATTGCGCACATCACTTGCACTCACATCACATTACTCAAAGCCAGTCATATGGTCACTTGTAGGTACAAGGAAGGCTATAATATACAGTCTTCTACAAGGTGGCCATGTGCCCTGCTAAACTCAGCAGTTCTGTTACCAAAGACAAATGGAAGAATAAATACTGGCAGATAACTTGCAGTTCCTGCTACAATCCATTTCTGAAATAGTTAAGCAGTTAATATGTATATTCAAAGGTATAAGCCTTCATAAAAACTGTAACCTATCCCTCTATATGGGGGAGAGAGAAAATTATATAACTCACACTTACAAGTATTATTCTGCTTATGTTAATACAATGGTTTGCAATTGCAATAAACTTTTCAGCATAGAAGGGCATCAAATCTGAGGGATTTGTTGAAGAAAGAGTAAAGGGGAGGCTTATAGAACTAAATTTCCAAAGGTAATAGAATAACAGAGTCAGTAAGCATCTTGGCCCTCCTCTCCAGAAGTCTGAGAGAGCAACAATCAGGATCCCTAAGTGTGGCTGTGCGGGTTATGCCAGGGGGCACAACTCACATCATAGTCACCATAATGATAATTATTCAGCAGATGGCAGTGAAGTTTCTTGAAGGAAGAGATGCCTTTTCCAAGTTGTATAAAAGTGTACCTTGGACTGACTACATTGCTAGCAATTGCATGTCCTTTAATGCTACTGAAGGGTAGAAGGGATGGAAGAGTCACTGTTCAAGTCCTTGGTTATTCTTTTAAAAATATTCCTAAGAGTATTAAGGTGACTGTCCATTACGTTCCCAAGAATCAAAAACTCAGAGTATAAATGCATGAAGAGATGTTCAAGATTATTGGTCAGTAGAAACAAAACCATAATGTGATACCACTTCACATCCACTAGAATAGCTATAATCAAAAAGACCAATACATGTTGGTGACAATATGGAGAAATTGGAACCCTCATACATTGCTGGTGGGAATGTATATACAAAATGAAATATAACCAAGATAAATGAATATATATATCCACACAAAAAGTTGTATAAGAACATTCAAAGCAATATTATTTATAATAGGCAAAAGATGGAAACAACCCAAATGTCTATCAACTGATGAATGGATAAATAAAATGTGGTATATCCATACAATGGAATATTATTTGGCAGTAAAAAGGAATGAAGTACTGATACATATTACAAAATGGATCAATCTTGAAAACATTATGCTAAATTTTAAAAAAGCCAGTCAAAAGGCCACATATTGTATGTTTCCACTTATCTGATATGTCCAAAATAGGTGAATCTATACAGACAGAAAGTAGATTAGTGGTTCTTTAGGACTAGGGGATGAAGAAGAGGAAGAAGGTTGGAGGGAATTAAGAGTGACTGCTACTGGGTACCAGTCTTCTTTCTTGGGGTGATGGAAATGTTCTAAAATTGACTGCAGTGGCTAGAAACCATTGAATAGTACACTTTAAATAAGTGAATTGTGTGGTATGTGAATTATATCTCAAGAAATCTGCTAAAAAAATAAAAAAATAAAATAAAATCAGAGTAGATACAGGGAAAGATTTTTAACTCTCACCATTGAAGGCAGAAAAGTTGGAAGAAGTAAGACAATTAGTGTTTTCCCCAGAAGTTTCTGTTGTCCATTCCTCATCCCAGCAAGAACCAGAGAATCTGGCCAAATAATTATCTAGATATGTAAACTGCCAATTACTGGAGAGGGAGAAATAGGTTTTCCAAAGCAATGACATTGAATAGTGGATAAAAGTATTTTATATTTATTAATTATTATTAAATAACATAGCCTGAAATGCCAAGATTTCATCTAAAACATATATTCTCAGTATGGTTGATATCACCCATAAGGGGACAAAAATTGATTCTTAAGGGCAAAGAAAAGCTTTCTGTTTTACATTTAAAGTATAGATACAGCTGTTACATAAATATACAATGTATCTAGGGTATTAAAATTTCATGGGGAGGATGATTAGGAAAAAAAAGGGTCCTTGGGTCTCTGGTTTTCTGATCCCTCATTCATATAAAATATGAGCTTCTGCCATGCTAATGAAACTATTATAAGATGAAAATTTTTGGCTCTGGAGCTCCCATTCCTCTGAAATGCTCACAGCAACCAGAAGTTCCAGATTTTCTATATAAGATATTGTTGCCTAACTATGTATCACGTATCAAATTTTCCTCTGTCTTACACTGAGAATTTATGTCTTCAAACCAAATGGTGCAACATACCAAAGAACTAAAGAAATTAAAAACATTTAATGATATATTATGCCTTCTCAGGTTTTCTCTTCCACTCCTATTCCTACCACTGAAATATAATCATTGACATGAAAGATAAAAAAGTGATTTTTCCCAATTCACTTTAGCTACTACCCTCATCCCCACAGCACCTCCCCATCATCACCCCTCCACCTCACACACTACGAGTAGACTTGCAGGGCAGGCCCTGTCTGCAGTCGTGGGGTAGACAATGTTATCATGGGAACCCACAGCCTCTCTTCACTTCTATTCTCTTTCCCCTTCTCCATAACATAACCTTCCTTTTCAGTGCCTTCTCCTATCTTAATTGGTCTATTCTACCCCCATTTCAAAACTAAAATGGATCTTATTTAAATTTTCAACTGAACTTTACCCAGAGTGCACTCTCCCAGAAAAGTGTCTTTTACATTAACTGTGGAATAAAAAGCTTTGACTCCTAGTAAAGAAATTTCAAACATCAGAGAAAAGGTGGAGGTGATACCTGCTTCAGTTCTATGAGAGCATTCAACCTCTGCCTTTTGATCCATATCACTCCCAGAAGGTCATCCCCAGTTGCTGCTGCATCCATCACAGGATAGGAATGGCTGGACATAGGAATAGCAGTGGCATGGTCCTGCTGCTGCCACAACCCTGGGGCTTGGAGCACATACTGCCTGGATGGAGGGACCACACTTACCACCTGCCCTCCCCTCCTACCTCACAACTATCCCAACACTCTCAAATGCTTACGCCTCATTTTAGGACCACCACTTCTGGTCTGGGTCTCTTTCTTCCCTCAGCATCAACTGAGATGTTGTCAGTCAGCTATTTACCTGCCCCCGAAGCAAGCAATTCATCTGAGAAGCAGGGAATGCTTGACTGGATTCTCAATCCTGGGTAACAGTGCAACCAACATAAACATCCACAATCCAAAGCACCCTTTCTTAGGGCATAAGAAATACTGTCTTCAGTTTCCAGTTTTCAGTTAAGCATTGTCAGGTTTTGAATCAAATGTTGGTCCTTAAAATCTATTCATTTCTTTTCCCAGTGGAACTCAACTGTTCCTATCTGCTCTTTACAAAGTTGATTTTGAACAGTGAACATTTAAATTAAAATAAGAAACTACCTTTTTACATGTAATAATCTGAAATCTTACAGCAGAACCAATTTATCTAATGGCTCTGAAGTATAAGGAAAGCAAAAAGGAATTTGAAAGATTTTCCCCAAAACAGTTCTCCCAGTTCTGTTTTACTCAGCTATATGCTTTAAATGAAATTATTCCAGGGTGTAAAATATTAAGCAAAACATAAAGGCAGTTTGGAGCAAGTAAACAGGACCAAGCTGAGATCTCTAATTTGCATTTAGCATTATGCAATTATTTTTATGACCTGGTTTCATACATTTTTAATATGACATAAAATAAACTCTACTGTCACAACTTCCTATTCTTCTTACAATTTTGCAGTATAGCTGATGGGCTCCCAGAAAAAGAGCTCTGTTTTAATCAACTGGCTGAGAAACTCATTTCCTAATCCACAGCCTCCTGGTTTAAATCAAGACAGAACCAGCTTCCCTCCTTCGTCTCCTTATCTCATGCAATAGTTTATGGAGCAAATGTGTACTGAGTACCTACTGTGTATCACACTCCACTGATATACACCATGGCTCTTCATTTAGTCCACAGAAGAATATTTCCATTATCCTGAAACTGTTATTTGAACTGCTTGTGTGTGTGTGTGTGTTTAATCCATGCTGATTATAACTATGAATTCTTGTTTGGTAAAGTTTGACAGCGATGGTGGATGCATCAGCCCTTTTGGGTGGGCCTCCACATCACCCAAACATCTGCCCCAAACCCTTATCATCTAGGATTCCAGTTGGCAGTTGTCACTCCTGATTCTGAACATAAATTGCAGAGGAGATGAAACCTATTCATGAGGAAAAAGCAGATGATACTTGTGAGGGTCCTCAATATTTTGTAAAGGACTCCAGGCATCTTTCCTGAGAATCTAACCACACAACTTCTACAGAGGCTACAGAACAGGGTATTGCAAACAAGAATAACTCTAGCTTGCCTTTTTTTGAGACATACATAATTTGCAAGTTTTCAGGACTGCTTACATGTGTACTGGTGTATTTGGTGAGATAATCTCATTATGTTACATTCACCCTTTTACAAAAAAAACTCTCTAAATCTAAATTGTATACTTAGGTCATTTTCAGCCTGACTAACTGAATATCAATACTTCCCAGTTTTGATAAAATCTCATTGTTTCCATAGGAGTTCCCTCTTCTTTCTTTTTTAGTGTAAAACTATACACAGATTTACCGTTGGCATAAAACATAAAAATCAAACAGCGGCCATTTGTCTTGGGTCACTCATCATAACTGCATATAAAATTTCTAATATACTCACTGTTCTTTTCTATTTCTAATAAGAATTCCAGCTAGAAATCATTGGCTTCAGCAAGAAGATCATCATCATGTTGAAAATGGAATGGAAGTACCCAACTTACTACTAGCAGAATGGAAGAGAGAGTGGCCCTGGCCACTCTGGTGAGCTGCAGGTGCCCACAGTTACATAACAGACAGATGGGTCTAAAACGATGGCAAGAGAAGCAGCAGAGCACCTGTTATACCTACCAGCATTCATAATTTGTGTTGTTGACAAAGCCTTGGCTGCCTGCAGGATCTTTTTTTTCCCCCTGCTATAAAACGTACTTACCCTAAGGAATAGAGGCGGCACTGCTTGTTGCGGATTTGATGAGCTAAGCCAAACCTGTCATCAAGACAGACCGACCAGGGCTTTTTTGCAGGGCTGGAGTCGGTGGCTAGGCTGTCTGTACTCATGTGATCACATGCAATCTGTAAAGATTGGAAATCAATGTGAAAAATTTAAAGCACTGGATGATAGATGGCAGGTAGAGACTTACTGCTTCGCTAGTCCCTGAAAACCATAACAGAAGAGTTATGTCCTTCGCTGCTAACTACTCCCCTCCCCAGAGAAATACAAGACTGCTGTGAAATATTTGGAGGAATTTCAAATACCAGATCATAGGTAACCTCGTGGAGACTAGAAGCAGGTTTGAAGGGAAGTTAAGAACTTCTATAGCCATATGCACACTGGGAGAACAAATCAGGGAGAACAAATCAGGAGCAAGGATACAGGGAGGAGGGGTCACGACAGGCTTTGCAAAAGAACGTTAGTCCTGGAGGAGGAACAGAACTGAGACCAAGAAGGGATTTCCAGACATGAAAAACAGTGCTCCCAAACCACAGATGTATATTACCCACAGCGTTCTTACCAGAAGTTGTGAGATAACGACCAAAGGAATAGATCTTAGAAGGATTCAAGATTAATCTATTCCTTATCACAGGCAGATACGGTGGGGCCACTATGGCCCAAAAAGGTAACGTGTTAACCAAGGTAAACGGCTGATCAGGGGTCAAGTGAGAATAATACATAGTCCCTGCTAGCAAGACAGTACTCTGTGATACACTGTTCTAATGAGCTTCCTCCTGTAGGGGAGGGCAAGAGCCCCAGCCAGGAAGGAAGCTCTTCCTGAGCTAGCCAAAGCACCTCTCTTAACTCATCCAGCAAAATTAGAGAAGAAAACCAAAGGGAACATGTATCTAAGCCAAGCAAAAGGAAGCAAGTCTCTAACTTCAAATGCACTTTAAGTAAATATACTTGGTGAGGAATTCTGACTTGTGCTTGAGGCTGACACAGTGTGCATGGCTGAGGCTGCTGGAACCAAAGAAAACAAGTTTTGTGGCCAACATATTTATCTTACTGCGCAACAGTACTTCCCTCTAATTCCTCAAAACTCTCATAGCCATCATGATGCACCATAAATCATGCAAAAGCTCTTGCTGTCACATCACAGACAACAGACCACTCCAGATGCAAAGGATGTTTTGAGGTTCACTGCTTTAGTTCATTGAAAAACATAACAGCAAACAATTTTCTTCTTAAGAAGATATTCTAGACTTGCCCAATCCTATTATTTAACTCATTTTCCAAAATGTTAATCTGAAAAGAACATATTATATGTAACCAGCATCTCCCTTATTCTGGCTATAGTCTAGGGCTGGCCTGGCAGTTCACCCCAGCACTGACTGAGAGAGTCTTTTGCTAGAATACAGACATTTCATAGGAAAGCTTAAAAAGTGAAATCCTAGACGTTTTCTTATTCTATTCCCTTGATGAACTAAAAATTTACATTTCAAGGCAAGGCAACAAAAATGTAAACACAAAATTTTATGAACAACCCCTTGCCTTGTATGTGCAGACATCTTTGGTGAACTTTATGTATATACAATATTAATATATCATTTCCCTTTAAGGTAGTGACTGGTGCAGAACAGACTGGGTCAGGTAACCTGGGGAGATACTGGGCCTCACTTAAGGGAAGTTCTTAGCTTAAATACTTACTTAGAACCTTATTAATGTTACTAGTCATACTACCTGTATTCTGCCTCTCTTATAGGATTATTGTTTCTTGCATTACCAAATGTGTGACTGAGCCTCCAATAAAATTAATGATTAGGCGACTTGAAACGATTGACCAAATATATAGTTCTATAAGATCAGTGATTGTAATAGTGTAAATCTAGATATGGAAACAAGCAACAAGAAGGAACCATTTCCTGGACCATAACAGACTAGGAAGACAGGCAATCCAGAGGATTCTGACTACTGTTAACAGGGTCTAATCCAGTAATAGCACATTGAGTGGCCTACCAATTAAATCCTCGCCTGACCTGGGGATGAGAATTCCTGGCACCATGGGACAAAGTGGTCACAAAATGCCTCCCAAACCTTGGTCAAAATTAAGACCCAAAGGGAGGGGATTGTAAAATAAAGAATATTTCCCAACATCCAGTTCTACAAGAATCAAGTCAGTAGCCACTGCAGTTGCTCACCTACAATACAGCCTGAAAGGAATTCAGGGCAAAAATCAGGATGAGGCATTTTGTGCTCTGAGAAAACTGGCAGAACTGGCCCTCAGACAGTCAGAGATTTTCAGGAGAAAATTTATGAACACAGGTTCTTGCATCTTCCCATACTTAGAAAAGCTCTAAAGCCATTAACTAAGATATCTGCTCCTCACTATTAATAGTAACTTTCTACCAAGATGTGTGATTGATTGCACAGTCTCCTTTGTCAAAATCACATATCTACTCGCTTGTCCCCTTACCTCCTTGGATCAGTCCTCAGAGCTCTCTTAGGGACTGTCTCCCAGGTTATAATCCTAAATTTGGCTCAAATAAAACTTCCCATTTCTTTCTCAGATTGACTGTTGATTAATTTTTGTTGACATCCTCAATCCAGTATCTTTCTATTTGTCTACCCACAACCACTGTTGAAAGGAAAAAATAATAGAAAATGGAACGGAATCTTCTCTCAAGCAATTAGTACAGAATACATTTATTAACTGGATCTATCAACATGTTAATTTGTATAATTCATTTCCTACTATTCTCCCACAAATTAATGGAAATTGTTTCTCTGCCTGCCCGCTTCTTGTTCCCACCCACCCACCCAAAGGAAAAGCTGCTAATCTAATTAGTCAAAGCTCAGTGTTCATCAAGCTTGTTTTTCACTAGTAGGTGAGTTAAAATGCCTTAAAACTTTGTTGGCACTCGGTTCCATGCCCTGTCTCCTGAAAGCAGTTAGTTAAGCCAGGGCAGTTCGGTGGATCCCAAAGACATGCCTGGACCTCCTAAGCCTGAGCCATTTGTTCTAGGGCAGCTTCCTGGGGTATTTTTATTAAAACGGTATGATAATTCCTATTTGTTATTGTTCTTTGTATGCACTCTCCCTAAGAACCTCCCAAAAGTCAGATGAGGAGATGGATCGTCATAGGTTCTTGTTCATAATTGCCTCCAACACAGTTTAAACCTAACTCCAGCCTCTCCTACCGTGTTTCTCAAGGTGGGCCCACAGACATTCCGATGGATGTGGGAGTACTTAAAAATGCAAATTCTTAGTCCCACTCCATAACTATAAAATCAGATTCTGTGAGGCAGATGCACGTGAACGTGCACTTTAATAAGCTCCCCCTGGTGATTCTTTCACAGGTGGGCCTATGAATTTCCTGGACACCTTCTGTAAAGCCCCACTGAAATGTTCAAGCCCATCCTCATCTGTGCCTTAGCAAATTAAGGGAAGAGGCTATGCTGGGCCAGAGCTTTCAACTACAAACAGCAGTTCCTCCAACCCCACCCCTAACAAAGAGCCAGAGGCAGTCCCTACAATTAGGTCTAGACCCCAAGAGTCAGGTTAGTGTTAAGAGTCAAGATTCAGGGCTTTGAGGTTCATCTGCTCCTCCTTTATGAACCTGGGGGAGTGCAGTTTTATTCTATTAAAGACGCTTCAAGCACTTCTTCTTCCACAGGTTTTGTCTTGCACAGATATATCCCTATTGGAAAACTATTATTTTCCATTCAATCTCTCCTATGTCCCCCTTTTCTCTCCTAGTTCAAAACTACACACAGGAGTTTTTCCATTTTAACCATTTATTAACCATCTCATTGATAGACATTAACTTTTGAAAACAACTAGGAGTACTCAGTAAAATTCATCTCTTAAAAATTAATTAAATATTGATTTTTTTCAAACTTAGTTAAGATTTATGGTCAGGGCCTCAATAAACTCTCTTGCAAGCAAAATCAACTCCTAGCTAAGCTCTAACTCAGGTAATTATGTTTTTTTCTTTCTATCTAATTCTCCTTGTAATTTTAGCTATATAAAGAGAATTAGCCCTGAACAAAAGAAAACAGACTCCAGGAAAAAAAAAATGTTTTCTGAAACGCTTTTTAGTTATTTAATTTGAAGGGATCCAATTTGTATTCATTTCATTTTGTATCCCAAAAGCCTAAATAGCATTTCTGCCAATTCATAAGTAAAATCTGGCAAAGGGAGCTCTTAAAATTTGGGGACTTTTGGCAAGAATCACTTCAATAATCAAACTGTATGTTTGTGTAATACATTATTTTAAAAAAGTAAAATATCAAGGAAAGAGTTATATTTTTGTTGCTTTTATCCCAATTTGTGTGTGTGTATGTATGTGTGTAATAAATATGATAGATACTATTGTTATAAATTTGTGAGATCTGACCCTCCAGATCCCTGGATTCTTATGTTATTCTTACAAATAGTTAGATGGGTAGATGATTAGATAGATAGATAGATAGATAGATAGATAGATAGATAGATAGACAGACAGACAGACAGACTGAATTTAAAACATTTTTTCTTTTTAGAACAACTGTTGCTTAGATTAATTTTGTACTGCGAGCCATGCTTCCTGAAGGCATATGGTTTGGGGGTTGCCATAAAAAGCTAGATCTGGAGACTTCCTTTAGAACAGAGCACTGTGTTTATGATTTAACCATTTCTTGTCAGCAGCACACAGTGTATCACCTACTCCAGAACTCAAGAGATATAATCACAGGCTTTCACATTAGAAACCAATACCTAGTAAAATTGAGCTTGATATTCTGCCCTTTGTACCCAAATACTATATCCTCTGATGTTTCATTAAAAATGCAGGGGCCCAACCATGTCATCAGGGTTGCCACAATGCACAAGTCCAGGGGTGCCAGGCCCAGAACAGTCTAATGCCACACTGTCCCATGCTCTGTGCTTCTGTTCCCGAGCTCCCTTGGCCTGGTGGACACCCATCTGTTCTCCCTGTTAGAGAATACACAGCTCTCTTGCATCCTAGCTGTTTACCAGTGTGTGTGTGTGTGTGTGTGTGTGTGTGGAGAGGGTGTATTTAATTCAGGTTTGACATCTCAGTCAGTGCCCAGCCCAATGTCAGCCACAGAGCAAATGCTCAACAAATACCCACTGAACTGAGGAATGAATAAATCAACATATCAAATGCTGGGCCTTGCTTTACAAGCTTAAAGACGGATTTGAAGGAAATTTTTAAAATTTTAAAAAGCAGCATAAGAGGATGGAGGTGGAATTTGCTTAAGTATCTACAGAAGTTTCTTTTTTCTTGCCCATTATGACTCACTATTGCTAACTGTGAAAATTTTAGGTAATAGTGACTCTAATATTCTGCCAGTTTTGTAGGCTTTCATTGTCAAGATGAGTTCTAAATGAGGCACAAGCACCCCAAGCAGCCAAAAAGCTCTGCGTTACATAGAGAGGGGAAGGAAGCACTGGTTAGTAGGATTCTGATTAAGAACCAGTTAGTGTCATCTCTGACAAGCTCCCACCTGCTGGCCTCCTAGTGACCTGGAAATACACAAAAGCATAGGACTGCAGTGGGTAGAATGACCTCTGATGACAAAACCACCATGAGGTCTGGAACTTTTTCTCATTTCTTTGTCTAGGGGAGCTTCAACAGCCAAATCTCTATTATTATACTCATCAAGCTGAACAATAACTGTATGTCCATTTATCTACCTTCCCAACTAGCCTGTTGGTCACTTGAGGGCAGAGACTGTATCCCCAGGGCCTAGCACAGTTCCTGGCACATAGTAGGATGCTCAGAAATACTTGGTTAATAACAATTCTGCACTAGTCTCAGCTCAGTACAAGCTCATGGAATTAGGAGGATCTTGGAAATAATTTGATGCAATCTCTTCCTATTCAAGATCAGAACAGCCAGAACCAGAGAAGCAAAATAAATTGCCCAGGGTCACAACATCAAACTACATCACAGGATGCTTTTTTTTTTTAAAGAATTTTTTTCTTCTCAGTCCGTAATTCATGGGGAAACGCCAAGAGGGGCTTGAAATGACCCTTTCATGCCTCAAGAGCTTCTTCTAAGTTAAAACGCCTTTTATGAGTTATAGAACATGAACCTGAAATACACATAAAATGGATTTTGGAGGCTTTTACATAGTCAGTTTATTTGGGGGGGAGGGGTGAAGCCCACAATTCTCAAATTCGACTCATAAATTTAACATCTCTCATTTTTCTCTGGGACTTTCAACGGCTTCTTAAAGTCACAGTTAAGAGATCCAGTGTCTCATTCTTCTTGTAAAACCAAACTATGAAATTAAAATTTCAGTGTTTTAACTCAGTCTGTGTAAGTCCACCAAATTAATTTGCAGCGGCAAAATAAGATGAAATTATGTAAAGCACAGGGACCAATTTATCATCCCATTACTCATGATGAATTCAACAAGCTTTTACTTCTACATCTAGATGACAAATATTAAAATCCCTGGTTGTCTAACCACATCATATGAGAAATGGGACTTTCTTTTACCCCTAAACTAGCCTTCTAAAAATTTAGAAATATATGCTCTCCCATGGATGAAAAATGAGCTTGGCTGCCAGTGAGGTTTGGGAGGGGGCGTGGCATGCCAAAAGCCAGTGGGCTGAAGGGAAAGCAAAAGAACCAGGGACCCAGTGCCACACCAGCTCTACTGTGCAGCTTCCCGGGGTGGGGGGTGGGGGGTGTCTGTGCACGCCTCACAGGCAGTCTGAGTTTCTAATTTACTAGCACCTCTCAGTTCAGGGCGAAGTTTCCCTAAGGCCTTGATTTCCTCCTCTGTCTCTCTGTCCCCAGGATCAGGCTACTTGAGAATGGAACCTCCTGATTAATGTGTCAAGAGCCATAGATGCTCCTTAATGGACGGTCTCTGCCTGCTCGGGGCGCTGGGCAGGAGCTGCCACAGTGTGTTAAGTCACTAATGAAGGCCAGTGCTCAGTAATGATTTAAAGTGCCCTGAGAATAGAGAGCCTTAGGATTCATTAGCTCTCCTCTGACTGCCTGCAAAGTCTCCTCTGCTCTCTGGCCTAACACACCCCTGTCTGCCAAGCTTCTGTGGCAGAAAAGTGAAAAGGCAGATTTCTCCAAATACACAATGGAATTTGAACCTCCAGATGATGATTTTGGTTTGTGACACACTGGACTGCCTACTCATGGGCACGAATCTGTCACTTCAAATGGCTTTCTAAAGCAATTTTCTAAAGTAGATCTTGAAAACACATTGGGATGAATCATTAAAACATCTCAGGATGATGATACTCCTGGAAGGGAGAAGATGCCGAAGCCGAAGCAGATGGAAGGCATCTTTTATCTGCCTCTAAGTGAGTGGATACATTTAAGAAGCAAGGCCTCAGAAACTGTCCCTATCAGGTCGCTGTCAGGAGGCCCTGAGAATCTCCACAGCCCCTCATTGCCCCTTCCTTAAAAGGGGCAATTAGCATCTTTTACAGAGTCTCCAAACCCACTTGCACCAGAAACTCAACCTGAGTGGTGCTGATGTATCTCAGGAACCTCAAGGCTTCTTCATCCAGTGACCGAGCAGGGCCTGCCCAAGGTTGGAGATCTATATGCCACCGGGGACCCTGTGAGGAGAAAACACAGGTCACTGCATAAGGGATCAGGCGCTTGGGGTGGGGATAGGAAGGGTGCAGAATATCAGTGAGGCAAGACTGATAGCCGCCTGCAAAATAAGCATGGCTGTACTCAGGTGGCAGGGAGCTGGTTCTGAGCTGCTGTTGTTAAGGCGACATCAGTCACAGGGAGACAAATGAGGCCTGAGAATGCCCAGCTACCAGGTGAAGCAGGAGATTGCAAAGGCCAGAGGGGATGTCTGTCTCAAGCTTCTGATCAAAGGCAAACTCCAGCTGACCCCACTGGGCTCTCTCAACTGTGGCTTTATACTACCCTGTGCCACTCCCCATTGAGAAGCAAACCTCCCCTGTCTCCTACAGTTTCCAGGGCTTAGAGCTTCAGATATAGAGGCCTCCTAAGGGCAGTTTTGTTTTCATGGCACCATAATGCCTGAATCCTCATGGGGCTTGGGCATCTTTCCCCCACAGACACAGGGAGAGGGGGGAGGGCATCACCCAGTGTTCAGACCTCAGTGCACCTGGTGTCTGGACCATGCATGTGCCAGTAGACCCTGGAGCTGTCCCCACCAGGGCCAGCCAAGGGTGGACTTCTAGCACTGTAAGGCAGTCTCCACCTTTCAGCAGAGGACACGAGGGGATCCCAGGAGAAGAGTGAACAGAGATGAGCCCTAAGCCCCCTTTTGCAGCAAAGGTGGGGTGGATGAAACGCTGGGGGAAGGTAGTGATGATCTAGAAGAAACAAAAATGGGGACCCCCCTCCAGTCAAAAGGAAGCACTAGTCATGAAGTCCTTGCTGGAGCTCAAGCTCCCCACCTATAGTTGTCACCACCTGGAAACCTCCCAGAGGCTGACTGTGATCAGAGTGTAGGGTGGAGAAGGGTGGGGGCTGGGCAAGGAGAAGCCCCAGCAGCTGGCAGGGTGAATGTCTAGCATCAGGAAAGTCTTGGCACAGGGGTTCCTGCAGAGTGGTAGGGATTGGCCCCTAAATTCCATTTTATGGTGAGGAAGGGGTCAGGGGAGGGTTCTGAGGAAAAATAAAGGGACTATTCATGTACACACATTGTTCTCTAGTCAGGTATTGCAATGGTCTGAATGGGTGTCCCCCTTCAAATTCCTACGTTGAAATCCTGATGCCTAATGTGATGACATTATGAGGTGGGGCCTTCGGGAGGTGCTTAGGTCATGAGGGTGGAGCCTTCATGAATGGGATTAGTGCTCTTTTAAAAGAGACCCCACAGAGTTCCCTAGGCCCTACCATCACGTAAGGACATGGCGAGAAGGCCACCATCTGCAGCCTGAATGAGGGCCTTCACCAGAACTCAACCTTGTTGGCACTCTGATATTGGACTTCCAGCCTCTAGAACTTTGAGCAATAAATTTCCTTTGTTTATAAGCCACCCCATCTGTGTTATTTTGTTATCCAGAACAGACTAAGACAGGTATCATGCAAGAATTATCTGTCACTCAAAAAGAAACATCTAAACAGGCTAGCCCTGAGACACTCTAGTACATATAAGGGTTTTTTGCCCCTAAATGGGATGGCCTAGGTGACTTGGGGTTAAACTGAAAGCAAGTAGGAATAGGGTAGTCAGTGTGAAGCCAGGTGTGTGGCCTTGGGGAAGAGGAGTAAACTCTGGCGTGAGGGTCTGAGTTAAATGCAGACACTATGTAAGTGTAAAGCATTATTCCAGGTTCGGCATTATGAGACTCATGTCACTGCACCACGTCCCAAGAGCCCACAGTCTTAGCGGCCAGACAGACCTGCACCACCGTGTAGTGACTGAGCACCCTGAAGTCCTCTGGACTAAAAGCACCCTCACTGATTTCCCACAGGCTGCTTTTTCCTCTGGAATCCTTAGGGCAAGGCCAGTTTCATGAGCATGCAACCTGCAGTATTAGAAGGGCCTGTGTTTGGCTTAATGCTCTGCTGACACTGTCCTGAGACTCTTAACAATTTTTGAACAAGAGTCCCTTTTATTCTGCACTGAGCCCCACAAATTATTTAGTCAGTCTGCCCTGAGGGACATCTTTCCTGGGGAAACAGGCTTTTCTTATAGCTATTCTTGTCCTATGAAGGTTGAGCCAGCAGAGGCTGTAGTCAGAGAGAACCTGAGAACATTAACTCATATATCTTCCCAGTTAATGGCTTCCACCTCCCCATTTCTTTTCTCCATCTCTGAATTAGCTGTTGATTACCACTCAGTCAAACAATATTTATCGAGCATCAGCCATCCAGTGCCAGGTACTAGTCAGCGTAGACATGAACAAAACCTGGACTCTCCCAAGAGGCACTCGCAGTCTGGTAGGGGAGACAGATACATACGAAATAACATTGATACGGAAATGTTAAAACATTACAGAAAATCGTTCTTTCCAGGAAATTTTTAACTATGAAGTCATAAATTATACACACATTTAAGGATAAATGCCTCTTAGTTTTGGTTGGTCACATTCTTTTTGAGTCAGTAGAGTGCCTCCCCCAGTTGCCACTGCTGTCAGCACAGCAACACAATGCTGCACGCGAACTCGTCCGGGCCTGAGGTTTAAAACTCCTCCACATCACTGTCGTGGGAGCTTTACAAGCACTCCGGCATCTGGCCCAGGAGCCTCTTTCTGAAAATGATAAGGCTCTTCTAAATCAAGGATCTGAAACTTTTTCTATAAGAGGTCAAATAGCAAATATTTTAGACTTTGCAGGCCTTAAGTTCCGGTTGCAATTCCTCACCCTCTGTTGTAGCTCAAAAGCATCCAGAGACAGTAAGTAAACAAATGGTCAGGGCCGTGTTCCAATAAAATTCCACTTACCAAAACAGCCGGGAGGCTGGATTTGGCCTGCAAGGCTGTAGCTTGCTGAGCCCTGCTCTATTTGATTCTAATTTGGATGTAGACTGGCCTGGAAGAGAGCGTTTACTTAAAATAATGCAAGAGAGACAGATTATGATATCTAGATTACAAACAACTTTGTCATCTAGGTGACTTGGGTAAATGTCGGTCAGGTCCCAGCAGGATTCTGTGGGAAGAATTTAGCAGAGAGACTATTTACAAAGGGGAAGGCAGAGTTTAGGAAACCAATAAGGAGTAATGCAGTACCCATGGCTGGTAGCACCAGGGAGCCCTTACAAACCTAAGTCTGAAGGAGCAAGGAGGGGGAGAAATTTGTGAAACCTAGAGAGGGAAACTGTGTGGAGAAGGTGTTTAATAGAGGAACACAGCCAATCCTGTCACATCCAGCACTATTATTTACCCACCCTACCTGTCAAACCCAAGGAGAAGCTGAAGAAGACAGAGGTTGCAATTGATCCACACAGGTCAGCCTCCCAGGGTACAAAGCAGGAGGAGCAGGATGGAAAGTGGATCAGGAGAGGCGAGTGGAAGGTCTCCTACACAGCATCCTTTGCAAAGAGGCATTGAGACTTGCATGAAGTCATTCATTCATTCACTGACCATTTGTGCCTCGTGCCAGGCTCTGGATTACAATCCAATATGGGACACAGCTGTGTAAACCAATAAATGCAATGAAGTTCTGCAAGGGCTCTGACTGAAATCTCCATAGGGCACAAAGAGATGAAGGACCCAAGCATTACTCCAAAATAAATGCCAGAAAATACAAATGTAGGTTGTGGGAAGCAGTCTCCACTGTAAGAAGTCCAAAAGTTTCATTAAAGAGACACCTTAAACACAGTAGAAACACTTAACCTGGACTACACACAAAAGTAATGTCACAGATCAATAATGGTGACTCCATATGGTGAATCAACATGGTTAAAACAACAGGATTATTTTAAGAGTCCACAAATAGTAAGTCCTTCTTGCTATCGGATACTTCTCAGTTCTAACACGACAATGCTAAATGCAGCAGCTGGAACAGTGAATAATACAGCTTGTGGGCTCTCAGGTAGGGATATAATAGAAACATACAGCAGAGAGACACCCTTAGACGTGCTCTGGCTTAGTGCTCTCGTTGAGCTGTTTAAAAAACATTTCACATAATGTTCTCATTGGAATCAGTCTGACAGCAGTTCGTGATTATTTCCCCAAGGAAACCACTAGCTTTTATCATCTCTTTCAATTATCATTTGTCTTAATTCTCTAGTGTACACATCAATATTTGTCCTTCAAAAATCCCACAAACAGAATTCTCTGAGCACATTAAAACACTGATGTTTGGTGTTTACTAGAACAAGGCAAAAAAAAAACTCTTTTTCTTTTAAAAAAATTTTTATCATTATGACTTTCCCCCAAACAAATCCCTAAATGCCAGGGTCCACTATTAACCACGTGCTCCAAATATCAAGTGGTCAGAACAAGGCTACCCCTATCGCTCCCAGGAGGTGGGAACGTAGATTCCCTGTCCTGTCTGTCATCCCCACTTTCTCTTCAGACAGATAAAGGAGCAGCTTAAGCAGGTGGTGGAGATACCATCACTGGGGGCTGGTCTGTCTGCCCCCAACAGCCTTGAGCTGAAATGTAGAACAGAGCATACACAATGAGTTGCCACAGAGAAGTGGCCAGGCTCCCGAGCCCCCGAGGAGACAGGGGTGCCATTGTTCCTTTGCAATCTGTAGTCCTGCCCCCTACCTAAACCACCAGGCCACTCATACAAAGGAGCCCCTCCCCTAACATGGACAGGCATCCCAGGAAAGGCAGGGTCTCAGATTTCTGAGGAAAGGGAGCAGCCCTCCACACTTTCTCTGGAACTTTCTCCAGGAAACATACACTGGGAAGTGAATTGGCTTCTAACGAGGGGCAAATGTTTTGATTACATAGCAAAAGTTCCCCAAAATTAACATTAAGGATAGCAAAAGACTCTATACACAACTAACTCATGTTGTTCGGGGGCTATTTTGCAAACATCTGAGATTCTCTTCCCAAAGGGTAAAAAGTGATCACTGAGTCAGCCCAAGATGATGCACAGAGATAATGGATCTGGCTCGAAAAGATTGCAACAAACACGGCCATAAGTCTTTCACATATTTTTATAATATGTGACT